CCTCAGACGGGCCATATATGGCATCTGCCTCTCACAGTGAGTGCCCGCTTCCTGCCGCCGGTAACCCAGATGCTAGGAAAGCGCCGGGCGCACAACAAAAGGAGGAATAAACAGCCCAGGTTCCTCTGCACCGTGTGTGCTGGCCGGACTGGGTGTGTTACTTAGGTTGCTAAGCAACGGAGGAAGAAAATAAAGGCGATTTCGGCGCAGGGCATGGAGCTACGCTGTGCAGTGTGATTACAGCGTCCGGATTTAGACCCAACAGGGGCTGGACAGGGTTTCTTTCAGGTTAGACGCCAACCATGATAACAGAAATTAATTTAGTGGGGTTCATGGCTGGGCTTTACTTTATTATTATTATTTTATTATTATTATTATTATTTAATCCAACGGTGATGCCAGCCAGGGGACCTGGGCCAGGAGTGCTGGGCCAGCCTGGCCAGCTCTAATTGAATGCTTATGAAAGCAGGAGCAGCCGAAGCCGGTTTGGCTCAGTGGATAGAACATCAGCCTGAGGACTGAGGGGTCCCGGGTTCGATTCCGGTCAAGGGCATGTACCTTGGTTGCAGGCACATCCCCAGTAGGGGGTGTGCAGGAGGCAGCTAATCGATGTTCCTCTCTCATCGATGTTTCTAACTCTCTATCCCTCTCTCTTCCTCCCGGTAAAAAAATCAATAAAATATATTAAAAATAAAAGAAAATCAGGAGCACTGAGACGACTTCAACCAACCTGCCCGAGGAGGTGCCAAATGGTTTGTTGAACTGCAGACCCGTAAGGCACGGGGTACCCCGCCCAGGCCTCCGCGCCTCCCGGGGAGTTCCCGGCAGGAAGGGGGCGCTGTCACCCGGGACCTTCTGCCTCCAAAGGGCGGGCGCTCAGCATCCGAGGGTGTGTGTACAGGACCCCGAGTCCCTGCTGAAGCCGCTCCTTCCAGGAACACTGCCCCCCCCCCCCCGTCCTCCACCCCTTCCCCACCCCCCACAGCCCCTCCAGCCAGGAAAAACAACTTCAGAACCTGGGGTGGGACTTCTCTGGAATCAGGCCCCCTCAATGACAGTGGAGGGAGGTATCTAGATAGTTTATCCCAGACCATCACGTTCCCTAAACCAGTGGTTGGCAAACTGCGGCTCGAGAACCACAGGCGGCTCTTTGGCCCCTTGAGGGTGGCTCTTTCGCAAAACACCACGGCCCGGGTGAGTCTGTGTTGAAGAAGTGGCGTTAGAAGAAGTTTACGTTTAAACATGTGACTCTCCAAAGACATGTCAGTCATTGTCCCGTTGGCATTTGGCTCTGCGGACGGATGAGTTTGCCGAGCACGGCCCTAAATAACCAGGTGCCTGCTTCAGTTCGCCCCTTTCCCTTTGGTCGTGCAAGCATAGACGCAGGAGCCTGCCCAGGGCGTGGGAAGACTGCCTGTGCAGCTGCTGTTCCAGGACCTCAGTCTCCCCCCCCCCCCATGGAATTAGGGGACAGGAAGGCCCCCTGTTCCCTCCTGGGCTCAGTCTGTGCGAGCCCAGAGCAAACCAGTAGGTAATCAGCAGGAAGAGAGGCCTCGGTCCTCCAGGTAAAGCCGAGAATCGATTACCCGTGCAAATAGCAAAGTCCGCCTGCACCAAGCTCTCTACCCGGCCATTCGTATGTTCCTGCTGCAGACGGTGACCGAGTGCCTCCTGTGTGCTGGGGCTTTTCTGGACATGGAGATGCAGCCGTGAACAGAACGGGGGGAAATCCCCGCTCTCAGCGTGCTCTCAGCTCCAGTGGGAAAGCCCACAGTACAGGCTGAAGGTAACGTGTGGTTATCCTACAGCGGAGACGAGCTGCCAGTCACCTGGCAAACATACACCCTTCCCCCACACGGAGGGGTGAGGGAAGAGCCAGCGTTTACTGAGGCCTCTATGCCAGGCACTCGGCAGTCACAGTGTGTGAGCACTCGCTTTGCACCAGGCTCCCGGGGAGGCGGGCTCACATACGGTCCCTGTTTCCCTTCAGGCCTCTCAGCAACTTCGTCCCCTAACTGCACAGACGAGGGAACGGCTGGAAGTCAGCAGTCATCGCTCCGGCACACCCTGCCGGGGTCTCGGCATGAGCCTGATCCCTTCACCAGATGGTGGTCACACCCGCCCTCGCTCTGCTCCTCAGCCGGCAGGCCGTGTCCCCCCTCCTCCCTGCCCACCTCCATCCCTCCAGCCCTCTGGTTCAGCGGGGCCATCTCCCTTCTCCGGAAGGACTGTCCTGCTCACTATGGCTGTGACCCTGTGCTGATCTCCTCCACGAGGCATCTGACCCCACCAGGCACCCAGGTGTCCCCATCTTCCTACTTCCCCTCCTCACTGTCTTTCCGGCCAGGAGTGGGATGTCACTCACTTGACTTTATTCTGTCTGTTTTGTCCCTTGTTCTATAGGCATCGGTCTCATGTCCTCCACTAGATTGGCAGCTTAGAGAACAATGTTCTATGTTTATAAATTACATATATTCACTAGAGGCCGGTGCACAAAATCCGTGCAAGGAGGCCTTCTTTCCCCCGGCTGCCGGCACCAGTTCCCTCCGGCCCCGGACCCGGGCCTCCCTCGCAGCCCTGACTGCATCCAGAAGGTCATCCGGAAGGACCTCTGGAAGGACATCTGACCTGATTAGCATATTACGCTTTTATTTTTATTTATTTCTTTTAATATATTTTATTGATTTTGTACAGAGAGGAAGAGAGAGAGATAGAGTTAGAAACATCGATGAGAGAGAGTCATCGATCAGCTGCCTCTTGCACACCCCTTACTGGTGATATGCCCGCAACCAAGGTACATGCCCTTGACCCGAATCGAACCCAGGGACCTTTCAGTCCCCAAGCCGACGCTCTATCCATTGAGCCAAACTGGTTTCGGCTGCTTTTATAATCTTAGATACGTTACATATCTATGTATACCTGTGTAAATTATCTTTATAATGCTTGTTTAAGAATTATTTAACCGAGTGGCTCTCGAACTTGAGTGTGAATCAAAACGACCGAAGGGCGTGCTAAGAGAGCTTATTGAGTCCCTCCCCGAGAGGGTCTGATCAACAGGCCCGGACCGGGGTGAGAATGTGCATTTCCAACAAGTTCCCAGGAGATGCTGCTGGTGCTGGGGCAGGAACCACGCAGGGAGACCACAGGTTGGGAGCGGAATGTACCACTGGGCGGAGCAGCTAGGAGGCTGGGTCTGAGTCACCACGGCTGGCTGTGTGACCTGGGGCACGCTAACCCCTCTGAACCCGTTCCCTCACCTGTGAAAACGGGGACAGTAATAGTGCCCACGTTCGGGCCGTTTGAGGATGAAGGGTAATAATGATGCCACGAGCATAGTACTGCCCCCGACACACTGGGAAAATTCAGGAATGCTTCCTCTTACCCCTGGCAAGGCTGCCACAACATCGAGCACGAAACAGGCCCCAGCCCCAGCCCAGGAATCCTCCCTCAGGCTCACACACAGCTCCCCTCGGGTCGGTGAGCGGTGGGAGCGAGGATGCCAGGAGCCTGACATTCGTCACAGACAGCTTCGGACGTTAAGCCAGACCCCTGGTCGGCAAACTCGTGAGTCCGCAGAGCCAAGTATCACCTGCACGCGATGGCCATTCCTTTGGGGAGCCACATTTTTTAAACTTCTTCTATCGCCACTTCTTCAACATAGGCTCGCCCAGGCCGTGGTATTTTGCCGAAGAGCCAACTCAAGGGGCCAAAGAGCCGCATGTGGCTCGAGGGCCGCCGTTTGCCGACCACAGAGCCAGACTATTCAAAACACAGCAGAAAGGCCTGTAGCAATACCACCCCTCCCTGCAGCGTGCTGGTGCAGACGCACAGGTGCACAGAAGCCCTGCGTCTCTCTATCACTCAGGGGCTGTCTCCGGAGCCTCCTTCCCCTTCCCCTGATGGAGGCGCTGGCTGGCCTGAGAGCCTGAGCAGCTGGTCCCCCGGCTTCTGGGCTCATGGCTGGCAGACACCAGCAGGGCCCATCGCTCAATAATTGATCAGCTGCGGGCACGGGAAGACAAGCTCCCCAGAGTCAGCACCACCGCCGCCACCCCAGCCCCGCCACCCCAGCCCCGTGGTCTCAGGGCACCCAGGCCCCGTGCTCCCTCCCGGCTCTGAGAGCTTCTTCACCCAAAGCGAGACCCATGCTCGCCGCCCGGGTCCCCTGAGCAGCCATCCCGGCTGACACTCTCCGCAGGGAGCCCGGGAGGGGGTGTGCGGACAGGCCCTGGTCAGCCCCTGCCCCCCAGCCCCTCCGGCGCCTGGGAGGGGGCAGCCAGGGGTGGAGGGATGGCCTCGGGCATAGAGGAGACGGGGTCACGGCCCTGCCCCTCCGGGGACCAGGAACCGCGGGCCCGCTGTTCATTCCATGCAAAGTTGAATGAGATCATCCCTGGGAGATGGCATGGATCAGAGGCTGCGGGTGGGGGCTGGGGGGACGCCGGGCCCCTTCCCGGGAGAGCATCGCCGCCTCCTCTCTCCCCCGGACCCTCCCTGATGCTCAGGAAAAGGACCACCTCCCCCTCTCCAAACCCTCTTCTCTCCTGCCCCCCAGCTTCCTGCACAAAACCTCCGCGGCCAGGTGGGGGGTCCACGCTCTCAGATGGGGTACCTCCCCCCCCTCCCCGGCATCCCCCCATTCCTTCCCCCCCACCCCCCCGGTGCAGGGTCCCCCAGCGCTCCGGCCAGGCCCTGCCCCGGGGGAAGGGCGCGATCAGGGGGGTGCGCAGCTGGAGGAGCCCGGAAGGCGGGGAGGCGAGCGAGCGAGCCCCCCGCACGCACCCGCGTGCTCCGGGGGAGGGACGCCGGCGGAGCGGCTCCTCCGGGGGAAGAGCACGGTGCCTCCCTCCCCCCGGTGCCCTCTCCGCCCTCCTCTCCATCCGCCCCCTCTCCGCCGCCCGGACACCGCGCTCCCCGCCCGGAGCGGTCCGGACGCCCGCAGCGACCCGTCCTCCGGGGACCCGGCCCGCGCCCCCGCCGCCCCGCGGCCCCGGCCTCACCCAGAAGAGCAGGTTGAAGCCGAGCAGCAGGTACTTGACGCAGCGCAGGCCCCCGCGGAGGCGCCCCATGCTGGGCCGCGGCGGTCCGTCCGGGCGCAGCCCGAGCAGCGGAGCCGCGGAGCCGCGGAGCCGCGGAGCCGGGAGGGGGCGTGGCCAAATGGCCGGGGCGGGGCCTCGGCGGCGGGGCGGGGCCGGAGGGCGGGGCGGGCCTGCCGGGGGCGTGGCCTGCAGGGGCGGGGCGGGCCTATCGGGGGCGGGGCCTGCAGGGGCGGGGCGGGGCGGGGCGGGAGCCCGGCAGGGGGCGCCCGAGGGCCCGGGCGGAGCCCAGCTGTGGGGCTGGCGAGGCCGGGGGCGCCGCGCGGCCAGGAGGGCACCGCCGGGCTCTCCCCGGAGCGGGGCGCCCCTCCCCTCCGTGACCTGAGGTCCGCCGGGAGGGAGCGTCCCCGGGGACCGAACCCCTTCCTGGGCGCTCTGCCCGGAGACTGGGGGTCGGGACGCGCCCGGGGGCTATGGAAACCCGGGGGCGGCCCCGGGGAGGGAGGCAGTGGGACCCGAGGCCGCCCTGACGCCGCTGGCAGGCCCCGTCCCGTCCGGGGCCCCGGGCTGCGGGGACTCCTAACCCCCTTCTCCCCGGACCGGACCTCAATAGGCGGGAAGCGGGGAGGGAGGCTGTCCGCCCGATGGCGCTGCCCGGCCGCGGAGGGGGCGCGGGGACCGGCCCACACCCGGGGAGTGGCTGTGTGCGGAGATGGCAGCTAAGGGGGGTTTGTTTTGGTTCGTGAAGCGAGGCTGCTGTGGGAACCAGGCTCCCTGGCTGGCTGGCTGGCTGCGATCTGCGGTGCCAGACAGTGGGGGGCGCCGGGAAGGTGTGAGCTGCAGGCGCCTCTGCGCGAATCCGCAAAACTTAATGCCGGATGGGCCCGGGCCTCCACTGCGGACACAGCGGCCGCAGTCCGGTCCGGCCGAGGCAGATCTGCAAGCAGACAACCGCCGCGGGGTGAGGAGGCCTCCGGCACCGCAGGGAAGCCTGGCCGAGGGTCGCCGGCCTGCTCCGGCCTGGAAGCGTGAGCCTGAGCAGAGGGCAGGGGCAGCCCAGGCAGACGGGGCAGGACGTGCAGGTGGCACCGGAGGAGTGGGAACCAAGAGCTGTGGACAGAACCCAGTGGGGCAGAGGAGGAGGTGAGCCAGGAAGGGGCTAGGGCACAGCTCTCAGTCCATCAGCAAAAGCACAAAGCCGTCTTCAGGCCCCAGTTTCCTCGTCTGCAACAGTGGAGAGAGGAGTACAGACCCGGGAGAGGTGTGGAGACGAACGGGTTAATATGGGCCGGTGCCCAGAGCAGGGCCTGGCTCAGAGTTAAGTGCTAGATTAAGGGCTGTATCTGTCGACAAATCACTTTCCACCATGGTGCCATCCTTGCCTACATCTGTGTCTTTGGATAGATTGTTTGGGTATCCAAAGTGGATTTTATTTATGAAAAAATGTGTACAAGGCAGAAAAGTGAAAGTGCCGATTCTGGTAACGAGCTTACGTTTCAAAGAGTGAAACAGAGGCAGAGATGAAAGTCGTTGGGTAGGCAGAGAGAGGAAAATCTTTAGCTTTAACAAAACACGTATTGTTCTACACCTATCATCTGTTCTATTATAAAGGTGAAGACGAAATGTAACAGTGGTGCCTAGTTCGTAGTAGGCATTCAATAAATCTCTAGGCTGAATGAGGAACAATAATATTCTATTTCAAAGATATGGCTGAATTTTAGGTCCCTATGACAAAATACATTAACAGATCCTATGCTCTCTGGGAACAGAACACCTGTTATAACATAGGAATCTACTGTGCTTTCATACTACAGTTTCAGCGCACACATAGTAGAGACAGAAGGTTGGCTGCCTGGCATAACAGACTTAGATTCTGAGTATAGCTTCCCCAGCTTCGCCCCCACCCACTCCCAGGCCCAAAGTTGTGTCTCAGGGGAGCTGACCCTTGACAGGACTAGTTATCCTAACTGATAACACAGTTTCAAGAGCACATCATTATGAAAGCAGGGACTTGCATTGAGTGACATTAGGAGGAAGTTAGCCCTTGAGCTACATGTCATAGGAAGCCACAGACAAGCTCTAAGTAGGGGATGAGATGGTTAGATTTCTATTCTTAGAATGGTCAAGTTAAGGCCTCAAGGTGTCTCAAGGCTAAGACTTGAGATCAATGACAGCACTTTAGGGAGAAATGAGAACCTGAACCAAGGGCAGGATGGCGGGAGGATGAAATGGTGGTCAGGACTAGCGTAGATATTTAGACTCCAATAAAGGAACAGGCACTGGCTTCCAGGAAGGGTCCTGCTGTTGGCCTTCTGGGCCCCGCCATGAAGGTTCTGGACCCGGATGTAGGTTTGGGTGCTCGTGCAAGGTGTGGTCACTAGGGGGCGCTATGGGTCCAGGTGGGAGGTTTGGGGAAAGGGCAGGACCTCAGGATGATGGAATGGTGGTCAGGACTGGCCTGGTTATGTGGACTCCAGTTAAGGAATAGGCACTGGCTCCCAGTATTGTTTCCTGAACGGCCTCCTGGTCCTCGCCATAACTGTCTATAATAAGGAGGTAGGTCTGAGCCCCGGACAGAGGCTGGGTCCTGGGCGGGCCTGGGGGCCAGGGAGGGACTTCTGGGCCCCCAGGAGCGGTCTGGCACCTCTCCTGAACCTCCGGGTTATGGAAATGGTGTCTGGGTTACGAATTGAGAAGTACACCCAGGATACAAGATGGGATTCTGTGTCTGAGGCCTGGGCCCCGGGATAATCTTCTCGGCCCCGCCCTGATAGTCTGGGTCCCGGATGTAGGTGTGAGCCCCAGTGTGGGGCTGGGTCCTCTGAAGGCCTTTGGGCCCCGAGGAAAGTCTGAGCCTCCGGGGCATTCTGGTGCCTCACCTGAGAATCTGGGTTATGGAATAGATGTTTGGGTTACACATAGAGATCTCGAACCCTGATCCAACTCTGTGTTCCAGGTCTGTGGCCTGGAGCCCAGGTGTGCCTACTAAGCCCTTCAAGAAGGTATGGGACCCGGATGTAGGTCTGGGTGCTCAGGCACGGTGCGGTCACTAGGGGGCGCTATGGGTCCAGGTGCGAGGTTTGGGGAAAGGGCAGGACCTCGGGATGATGAAATGCTGGTCAGGACTAGTCGGATATTTGGACTCCAACTAAGAAATAGGCACTGGCTCCCAGTATTGTTCTCTGGAATGGCCTCCTGGTCCTCGCCATAACTGTCTATAATAAGGAGGTAGGTCTGAGCCCCGGACAGAGGCTGGGTCCTGGGCGGGCCCTTGGGGCCAGGGAGGGATGCCTGAGCCTCTGGGGGCGGTCTGGTACCTCTCCTGGACATCCGGGTTATGGAAGTGGTGTCTGGGTTACCAATTGAGAAGGGACCCAGGATACAAGACGGGATTCTGTGTTTGAGGCCTGGGTGAGCCCCAGGTGGAGGGCTGGGTCCTGTGAGGGCCTTTGGGCCCGGAGGAAAGTCTGAGCCTCCAGGGCGTTCTGGTACCTCACCTGGGCATCTGGGTTATGGAATAGATGTTCGGGGTATGCATAGAGATCTGGTTCCCTGATCCAACTCTGTGTTCCAGGTCTGTGGCCTGGAGCCCAGGTGTGCTTACTAGGCCCTGCCATGACGGACACCCGGATGTAGTTAGGTCTGAGCCCCGGATGTAGGTCTGGGTGCTCAGGCACGGTGCGGTCACTAGGGGGCGCTATGGTCCCAGGGTGGAGGTTTGGGGCAAGGGCAGATCCTCAGGATGATGAAATGGTGGGCAGGACTAGCCTGGGTATTTGGACTCCAATTAAGGAATAGGCACTAGCGTTTTACTTCCTGGCCCCGCCGGCTGCCCCTGGCGGGGATGGAGATCCCGGGAGAGGTGCGCAGGCTCCCAGTCCACCTGCATCAGGAATGAACAGGTAACGGGATATTGATTCTGTTGCCATCGGTAACAGTTTTTCGGGCTCACCAGTAGGTGTCAGTGCAACCTAACTAACGTTCCCAGTGGATTGCGTACCTGCCAGCACGCGAGTGAGAATCTTCTTACAATAGTAAAGTTCAGAACCTACTGACCATGTGTTTGATTAAGAATATCTTAAGTAGCCCTAGCTAGTTTGGCTCAATGGATAGAGCGTCGGCCTGTGGATTGGAGGGTCCCAGGTTTTTGGGCTCAATCCCCAGGGCGGGGGGAGGTTGTGCAGGAGGCGGCTGATCAATGATTCTCTCTCATTATTGGTGTTTCTCTCTCTCCCTCTCCCTTCCTCTCTTAAATCTATCTATCTATCAATCTATCTATCTATCTATCTATCTATATTTAAAAAAAGAGGATATCTAGCCAGGACCGGTTTGGCTCAGTGGATAGAGCGTCAGCCTGCGGACTAAAAGGTCCCGGGTTCGATTCCGGTCAAGGGCATGTATCTTGGTTGCGGGCACATCCCCAGTGGGGAGTGTGCAAGAGGCAGCTGGTCGATGATTCTCTCTCATCGATGTTTCTAACTCTCTATCCCTCTCTCTTCCTCTCTGTGAAAAATCAATAAAATATATTAAAAAAATAAATAAATAAAAATAAAAAAAGAGGATATCTTAAGTAGAGCTGTAGAGAAGTATCAGTCCTTCAGAAGTGTAGATAAAATGGGCCGTTACCAGGCGTATCAGAGTATCGCCTACGGTATAACTCACGTGCTCCGAGTGGCGATGAGCTGTGTGTCACAGCGTTGTCAGAATGCACACCTGTGGTGGAGCATGTAAGGGTCACATGTCTGTACAGCTCACACAGCACAGACATGAGCGCCCGGCGAAGCTCGCTGTCCACCTGAGGACGCCATGGATGCCTACGGGAGCCCTCGTTGCCTGTGGGTGACGCCGGTGTCTCCGATCGCGGCTTTTGGCGGGGCCAGAGCGGCCGCTCCGGGCAGCGCAGCGGGCCTGTGACCGGAGACGCCGGCCGCCCCGGCCGTCCCTGCAGCCGCTGCAGCCGTGACGGGGGACTCCATCGCCTGCAGAGGCCGGCGGCCGGACAAACAGGTTCCCGCAGAGCGAAGTGGAAGCCA